TTTCCAGACTTTCTCACTTGCCTACAGGGTCAGGAATTCCTGAGGACTGCAGTAATGGTAAAGACTGAAGTAAAAAAGACATTCAGTAAGTCTGCCTTCTCCATATCCTTTGTCACCATCAGCAATGGGTCCACATTTTCTCTAGTCTTCCTTTTGCTACTGATGTACTTAGAGGACCTCTTGTTTTCCTTGACATCCCTTGACAGATTTAATTCCAAATGAACCTTTGCCTTCCACATGCTGTGCCTGCACACTTTGAAAACATTCCTATATCCCTCCCAAGTGCCCTGTCTCTTTTTCCACATTCTGTAGACTCCCTCTTTCTGTTTTGCCAGAAGCTCCTTGCTCATCCATGCAGGTCTCCTGCTCCCTTTGCTTGATGTCTTACCAATGGGGATGCATCAACTGTAACCTTGGAGGAAGTGATGCTTGAATATTACTACTGCTTAGAGCTCTAACGTAATGGGACTCCTCCAAGTAGGAATCATTACCTAACTGTGACCTGGCAAGTATCTTAAAATATCTTGTATTCACACAGCCTCACTTGACTCATGTTTTGTAAGGACTCTATTTTTAAAGCATCTTCATTGCTTCACCAACACTGTAATGCAATAAAGTAATGCAATGTAGTGATGATTATAATTTTTACTCCATCAGCAGGGGCTGCATGTCCTCCTTCATGTTTAGAGAAAAATAGTGGGTTTTTTTTAATGATACCTCTGTGTTTCTGAGAAATTAGCCCATGACTTGCAATATCCCAGGTTAATTTAGCTTATTTCTCTAGAGAGAACTATCAAAAATATTAATATACAAAAAGCAACTAAGACAGTGTAGTTGGTAAGGTGTAATTGGTCCTATAATATGTGGACTGAAAACCCAAAAAAACCCGCCCCTCCCTAAAATATACTGTCCTGAGGGAAAGGTGTATATTTATCTGTCTTACTGCTTGGCTAATCTCACCTCTGGTATGTCAGTCTCATCCCATACAGTTCTGTCAAAAGTTAGCTTTCCACTCTGCATCCTGCTTGCCATCTTTCATTGGCTTCACTTCTGAATGAGTGGAAACCAGATACGACTGGAATAAATCCTGTTTGGACAAATCAGAAGGATTTATGTTGTTTGCTTGGATACTGTCAACAAAATGGCATCAATTTACACTTATCAGCTTTCATTATTCCCTTATTCTACGGAGGAAATGTAACATCTCCACTAACATCCATTAATACCAGTTATGCTTCAGAACATGGGATCCAGAGCAAGGGAAGCAAAAGTGAAGCATTCCAGCACACATAAGCCCACTCCTTAAGGAGGCATAAGGAGCTCAGCCAAGTACAAATGAAGGCTATTATGGAAAGCATGGTCCTGTGTCCTCTACTTTCATGTTCCTATGGCCCACATTGCCACTTTTCTGACCCTGACACAAGCCAAGCTACAGGGAGGTCCCTACCAAAAAAACAAGATGTATGAAGCCAGGGAACAGTTCTAAGTCAGCACAACTCCCTGAACTAGGACAGCACAGGAGCATATACACTTAAGCTCCACAGAAACACAAGGGCAACCCAGACCGGGTTGGGGCAGTCCTGCATTTTTTGGCAGCAATTGGGCTGTCTGAGCCATAATACCAAAGAGTACTGTTTGCATCCTGAAATCCTAAACAAAAACTGAAAACAGTTTTAAATCCTAAATGCAGTGGTGCTGCTGTGTGGTTAAAACCTAAGTGAAAATCCACAGTGAGGTGCTGTAACTGCACCACTGAGGGGCAGCAATGGACAGTGGAGGGCAAAGCTGCCCCTCTCCACAGAGGACTCCAGACAAAGGCACCATGGCTGTTTGCAGTTTTCCCAAGCACATGCTGACCACCCAGATGACTAAAGGGCAATGATGGCAAAAAGCCAGATTTGACCCTTGTCAAATTTACACATTTCCAGTCATTACATTTCAATTTGCTATTTTACTCAAGAAATCAAGTGCACTGTAAAGGGGGGAAAATAGGCTTTCCATATCCCTTTAAGAAAGAAAATAATTTTGTATACTGACAACAGCAAGGAACACTCAGCCTTCAATCCAGTGCAGAAAAAGTACCAATACTATGTAGCAATCACTATTTTGCTCAAAACCAGGAATATCACCAATTATCTCAAACAGCAGCATTGTGGAGAGATCCAGACCACAGAAATAACCAAATAACTGTATCTTTCCTTGTAAATAAGCTTTGTTTCTAAACAACACTGGCTTTCAACATTTCTTCTCCCTCAGAAACAGCAGCAGCCAAAACCAAAAAGCAGATTCCTCCGAAATCATAACATACTTTATTGTACACTTGTGAATGTTTTCCCTTTATTAAAAAGATGTTATTTACAAAAACCAGCACAGAACATTAGCATGTAAATTATTCAGTGTACTGTACGCAGATGTCCAAATCCAAAGTAGATCCCAATTTCTCTTTGTTGACTGCTGTGATGTATCACTGAGAAGCACTTCCTACTGTATGCTACAGAAACAACACCTGACTGCAAATCATATGGCATGACACAAATTAAGCAGACTTCCCAAAAGTCCATAGGTGTTCTGTATTGACATCGAGCGAAGGAGAAAACATTCTTGAAAATAATTTTTTCTCTTGCTGCAGCAACTGTTTTTGTTAGCATTAAATCTATAGCATCAATTTTGAACAAACCAAGATGGGCGTTTCCTGGCTCTTTCAATGATCCGTTTGCCTTCGTCTTTTTCTGAAGGCTTTTCTCCATCATAAAGGACAACAGTCTCTACAGTTGGAGCCTTAAACGGTCCTCCTTCCTTTTTGCGCATTTCCATCCGTATCAGATGAGTTTCTGCTTTGACCTTTGCGTAGCAATAGCCACAAAGGACGTGTTTCTGCTTCAAGTTTCCACACTCAGGGCAAACATCTATGTTCCTCTGAAACAACAGCGGAAAACAGGAAATTTTGTAATTTGAACAGCAGCAACAAAAGAACAGGGAGCAATCACAAACTACTAAAAAATTTAAATGAAATATCAGAGAAGTTCAGTTACCATTCAAAAATCTATTCTTCTATATAATTTTTCTGTAATGTGTTGCTATGTCAAATGCTTACTACTAATAACAGCCTGTGAAGTCAGTATCTAAGTCATTACGCTTATTGATAATGACTCAATTAGGTGCATAGAAAGCACAGAGCTTTTCCACTTACACTATCTGTTCAGCCAAAATTCATATTTTGTTGGCTTGCACCTAAAGTCTCACTGTTTATTTAACGACAGACTACTGTCACACATGATGAATGTACCTCTTCCAAAGGATTTTAAAGATTACAGTGTCTTTTATGCTTCTTCATTTATAAACAAAGTTCAGAAAGCTTTTTCAGTCAGCACTGATGACTGTGATGATTCTCTAAAACAAGCAAGGTGAAAAACGACTGGTGTAAATATTACTCCGCCCTGTTTGCCACCAACAAGATGACTCGTGGTGGATACGGAGGCAAGGCAGTGGAAACTTGGTGATTACCTTTACTTCTATAAGCTTGCTGGGATGCCTCCGCCGGCAGCGGTTCACCTCGATGGTGCGCCGTTTCTTGGGCACTGCCATCCACAGGATGCTCTCCAACAGACCCGGTGCTTCGGCACTACTTTCACTGGCGTCATCTGCTGCTTGTGGAAGAACAGCTGGAGCTTGCACAGCTAGTGCTGGTCCTGAAGGAGAAAGAAAAAGAGAGGGGGGGATTGTCCCGCTCTGCTCTGCATTGGTGCAGCCTCACCTTGAATATTGTGTGCAGTTTTGGCCACCGCAATATAGGAAAGACACTAAGCTCTTAGAGAGTGTCCAAAGGAGAGCAAAGAAGATGGTGAAGGGCCTTGAGGGGAAGATGTATGAGGAGCAGCTGAGGTCACTTGGTCTGTTCAGCCTGGAAGAGACTGAGGGGAGACCTCATTGCAGTTTAACAACTTCATTGTGAGGGGAAGAGGAGGGGCAGACATTGATCTCTTCTCTGTGGGGACCAGCGACAGGACCATGGGAATGGCCTGAATTTATGTCAGGAAAGGTTTAGGTTGGATCTCAGGAAAAGGTTCTTCACCTAGAGGGTGGCTGGGTGCTGTAACAGGCTCTCCAGGGCAGTGGTCACAGCACCAAGCCTGATAAGAGTTCAAGAAGTGTTTGGACAATACTCTCAGGCACAGGGTGTGACTCTTGGGCTTGTCCTATGCAGGGCCAGGAGTTGGGTTCGATGATCTTTGTGGGTCCCATCCAACTCAGTACATGCTGTGATTCTGCGAAACACAAATTCCTTACAGCCAAGCCCCATTTTCGCTGGCGGCCGCGGGAATACGACACGATGCTGCGGCCATCCCCGAAGGAAGGTGGTCAGAGCGGCGACCCCGGCCCCGCGCCCTCACGGATCCCAGGGCCGCGCCCCAGCCGTTCAAAGGTAAAACGAGTCTCGCAGCCCCGACACCGTCCCCTCACAGAATCACAGAATTGCAGAGATGCAAGTGCTGTCCGGAGATCATCTAGTCCAGCCCCCCAGCCAAGGCAGAGTCACCTAGAGCAGGTGGCACAGGAACGCGTCCCGTTCCTTCAGCGGGCGGAGAACAGGGCGGGACTTACCCCAGGGCGGCCTCTGGCCCCCTAGACCGCCCGGCAAGAGGCCGCGCTCCAGCTGCCCCCAGCAACGCTGGAGGAGAGCGCGAAGCCGCGGCAGCGGAGAGCGGACTAGCACCAGCACCGCCATGGCCTCACCGAGCCCTCCGGGAAGGTGCGCCTGTCGCTGAGGCTCCTGGGAAACCGAGTGCCCGCCTCATGCCGCGGCATAGCAGGGACGCTGGACGGGAACTCCAAGTCCCAGCATTTCTCTCGCTACCGGGAGGGAGGGGCAGTGGAGGGCGCCTGGAGTACTCCAACTCCCAGCGCTCCCCACGGCGCGCCTCTCCGCCAACCGCATCCCGGCAGGCTCAGTCACGCGCCGCCACCGCACCAATCAGCGCGCTCGCCATGCCCTAGCGCAGGGAGCGGGAGCGGCGGCCGCGCGTGCGTCGAAGGAGCCGGCGCGGAGAGCGCAGGGGCTGGTGCCAAGATGGCGGAGCGCGGCTACAGCTTCTCCCTCACCACCTTCAGGTGCCGGCGCAGGGGCGGCTGCAGGCCCGGGGGCAGCGGCGGGCGGGCTGCTGGGCCAGCGAGAGGGCGGCACGCAGCTTGCACGGAGCGGTCTGCTGGCGGCGGCGACGCAGGACCGGGGGCTCGCTTTGCAGAGTCATCGGGCCTGCGGGCGCTGGGGGGCAGCGGGGGCCGGACCCGCACAGGGGCGGCGGGCGTGAGGAGAGCGGCGGGGATCGGGCGGCGCTGCCTTGGCCCGAGGGAGACATGCAGCTGCAACAGGCTCTTGCCGACCTGAAGGGCTGCTGACTCCCCTGGGGGCGGAGGCGGGGGCTGCGGGAGAGTCCCGGCTCCCACCGGCTGTCTGTCGCTGACCTCGGGGCTCGCTGCGGGCGCTGCTTGTGTCTGCTCTCGTTGTGGGCCAAGCTAAGATCTGTCTCGGCACTGGCCCTGAAGCGAGTGCTTGGTGAAACGGTTTAGCAGGGTCCTCCCCCCCCAACTCTTTAGGCTGGGGAGTAATTCTGTGGTTCTGAGCTAACTGGAAATGCGTGATGACAGCTGAGCTGTGGTACCTTGAGAGCTTGCTTCAGAACAGGCTTTGCAGATGCGGGAATGAATGAAGCAGATGAGTTATAAAGTAGCATATTTTCCTTCTTGCTGCGCTCTGCAGTCGCTGCTTTCCGTGCACTTCGTGTTGTGCACAGGCTGGATGTGGGATGTTTGCATGCACGGAATGAATATGCTGCTGTTGGAGTGGTGTCTGTTGAGATGTTGCTCTAATACACAGACTTAAGATTAATTCAGAGAAAAGGAAATTACCTTCCATTCATTTTTTGATGAAACTATTAAGCTATCCAGCACTATGTTATACATATAAAGAAGAAAAACTGCCAAAAAAGCAAGAACCTTTATGCTGCTTGTGGTGAAGTTAGACCCCCTTAACCTCAGAGGAGAGTCGTGCTGTGTAATTGTAGAGTGAGTTGTTAAAGGCTTGTTGCAGTTAAGCAAATGAAGCAGTTCATGACCTAAAATGATGAAAAGAGTGTTTTTAATGGATGGAAGCAGCCCAGCATGCTTGCTGTGCTCTAGCAGGTTGAATTCTCTGTTAGCTTTTGGAAATGGTTTCCTGGGGTAGTTACAAACTTCTTGTATTGTACAGAAGCACTATGTGCTCGGAACTCTTGTTCTGATTTGTTAGTATTTTGTAGGGGAGAAGCCAGAATTATTACTTTGTCACCTTTATAACTTGTTTCCTCAGTGTATAAATGACTACAGTGATTGGTTATGGCTTGCTTTGTTCTTTCTGACTCATCTAAGCACCAAGTTACATAATTTTCTATTTTACTTCTGCAACTGTTAAAGCAGCGGCGTCTGAAATACAGCCCAGGGACTAGATCCCACTTGCAAAATCACTTGACAAGTGAGTGGCTGTTTCTGTGCTGTCCTTTTCCCTAAGGGTCAAGGAGGGACCTCTTGATCCCGCTCCTTATGAGTAAGTTACTATGCCAGCTTTAACTCCTTCATTTCTCTTCTGATGATTCTGCATCCATTACCAGCACATGGATTGTTAAAGAGAAATTCAGGAATACCTGGAAATGGAACAGGGGTTGTTTCTGTCTTGTGCTTATCTGTCAAAAAGCATAGCTGTGTTTTGCTGGTACCTTTCAGCAGAGAAAATCAGTGTCTTGAAAACTTTTGGACACCACACATATAATGTATATCGTGAGTAGAAACTCATGACACGCTCTGAAGATTTTTCCCTCAGAGTGGAAAACTTTTTTAAAATGATATAGAATTGGAGAACGGACTTGTCCTCCTTCAACCTGCATCCCACTCACTGCTCCCTATCTGTGACTCCTTAGCTTTCATGAGGGCTGTAGGTTGATGCTGTGTGAGTATCCCAGTAGCACTGTGCAGCAGTGACTTCTGTGCTGAACCAGTCCAACTCCTTTAGAAGCTCTTACAAGTCTTCAGACCTGTGGGGTTTTGTTGTTTGTTTTTTTTTTTTAAATTCTGGTCAGAATATGCTGTTGCCGGATGTAAAGAGGCTTAAAAAAGCAAGTTGGCATCAGATTGTTGTAGGAAAGATTCGAGTGCATCGGAATTATATTAATCTTTCTTTTGCATCTTCCTTTTTAGTCCTTCTGGAAAGCTTGTTCAGATTGAATATGCTTTGGCTGCAGTAGCTGCAGGAGCTCCATCAGTTGGGATTAAAGGTATGTCCAGAAAATAACTATTTTAGTGAAGAATTTGAGATTCTGACTATCCTTTGAGAGAACTAAATCAGTTTGGATTATGTACTGGGTCCTGTGTATTGGACCTTTCTTTATCTTTCCTTCTGTTACATATTTTGTTACTCTTTCAGTGGATTTTCAAATGTTTTAATAGGTTTAGTGTTTTCTGACGTTCTTTTCTGGGTGGTTCTGAAGACGTTCAGGTGGTAGAGATAGGTGTTTGGTTTGGGGGTTTTTTTGATTGTTCCTGTCCTTATACATAGAAATTACACACAAAAAAGTTACTTTGATTACTCAATTATTAATATGTTATTCAGAATCTTTAGAATGGGACTGTGGGAGCTGTATGGTTATTTAAAATGAGGAACAATGGGTTGGGTGGATTCATCAAAGTATCTCTCTTTAACACGATTGTAAACTTGAAGAGTTTTTTTAAAAATAGAGAAAGAAAATTTTTAGTCCGATAAACTTGTTCTGTGTTTTGACTGCTTTCCATAGTTTTAGTTTAATATTTAAAAAAATTTCTTGTTCTTTTCCAGCTGCAAATGGAGTGGTGTTGGCAACTGAGAAGAAGCAGAAATCCATTCTGTATGATGAAAGGAGTGTCCACAAAGTAGAACCAATTACCAAACATATAGGTTTAGTGTACAGTGGAATGGGTCCAGATTACAGGTATGATAACATCTTCTTTGATCACCACTTAGATCCATTTTCATACAAGAAGTGTAAGAAGCAGGTAGCAATTAGCTGTTTCTAGGTCTTTCTAAGTATATGTTTGTATCGGGACGAAGTTGGGATGTTATTTTTTGGTCTGTGTTTGGCCCTAGCCACCTACAAAAGTTTATGTTTTCTCCTGCCAAGTCTGCTGATAAAGCAGTGAACTTGGCCTTGGAGGGAGAACTTCTGTGTAAACTGTTTTAATTGGTCTGTTGTGATTGCTCCATTGCTCGTCAAGGGCAGTTGGAGGACAAAGTGGTGAGGAAGGTGATGAAGGCATCCCCCAGACTCAATTGGAAAGACCACCCCACAATTCACTGTGCCTGCGTCAGGGGATTTCCAAGGTGCTCACGCATGCGCAGGAGGGGTGCACTTACAATGTTGTAATACCATATTTTATTATAATAAAATGACATTGACTTGAAATTTTCCTTAATATATCTGATACCTTGTCAAATAACCTTTTATATGAAGAATGAAAGTGGTGTTATTCAAGCTTAGTTTCAGTTTAAGTGTTTCAGAGATTACTCAGTTGATAAAGGTAAACCAGCACAGTCTGTTTTCTTACATTAATGTTACGACAGAGGTACAACTCTGTAGCATTGTATTTATTATGAGTTTTCAGTTCTATTTAGAATTTCTTTGGCATAGTAATTTTGTCTTTGTTTTTAGAGTACTTGTGCACAGAGCTCGGAAGCTGGCCCAACAGTATTACTTGGTTTATCATGAGCCCATTCCAACAGCTCAGCTAGTACAGAGAATTGCTTCTGTGATGCAGGAATACACGCAATCTGGGTATGTGGTGGAATTGCAAAGTTGCTTAGAAAGATGTTTTTTAAAAGTAAGGAGTAACAGCTACCCAATGATTCAAGTTTTTGTGTCAAAGACAGTGGAGAACATGCACAGAAAGTGGGCCAGTTGGAGGAGCATGGACTGGCACTGGCTGAGAATGAGTCTCCATATCTTGCAAACCAACACGTCAGACAAGGCAGCATTATTTGGGCTTGTTCTGGTGGTTGACTAGTCATTCCTCATCACAGCTACAGTCTGGTGGGAACCATTCAGGGGAAGGTTAACACATCCAAAATAATTTGGTCGCCTTTGGCTTTCACTGAATAATTTATCATTTTGTTTCCCTGTAGTGGTGTTCGTCCTTTTGGTGTGTCACTGCTAATATGTGGCTGGAATGAAGGGCGGCCGTATTTATTTCAGTCGGATCCATCTGTAAGTATCTTACATTTGTAAATTCCGCTGCTTTTGTAAAACATGAAATTTCACAGCTGCTTATGAAATACTTTCTGTGATGAGAACAATGCAGAGCTAGAACAAAAGATACCTTAACATAACTTCAGAAGTTAAAATGAGCCATTTCAGTAGGTGCTTGGAGCAAGTCTGGATCATTCTGGACCTACATGTTCCTGAACTGCTTGAAGGATGGGAGCTGCTTTTCAGGGAGATCACTAACCCTTTTCATGCCTTTCCTAGTTGATTGTGCCAGCAAAAATGGCCTTCTGCAACAGATACCAGAAAAAAAAAAGTCTGCTTATGCTGCTCAAAACTGAATGGAAGTTAAGTCAAAAGCTGTTGTATTGTGAAACATAATGCACATGCCTTTGTATTTAATGACAGTGGTTGAGTGAGTTTATTAGCTAGGTTTGCTCCACACTTCTGAAAATCTACCCTTTGATGCACATGTGAGGTGCAGTGCTTCAGACAAAAAAACCGAGGAGGTCACTGTCATGATCATCAGTGAGCTTCAGAATTACTGCCTGATTCTCCAACATAAAAAGCAAAATGCAGATGCCTTAAGGCAATTTGATTAAGGCATAGACCTACTGATAGTCTTCATGCCAGAGAGAATAGAAGTGATGGCTAAATATCCTGTTAGTAGCTAACATAAATCAGATAGCTGATTTGCAACAAGTTTTTTATACTACCTAGTCTTCAAAAAGAAGAGTGGAGTGAACCTCAGTAAGGATCTGACTGTGCACTTTCTCAAAGGCAAACATACTATTTCTGTTTAAGGAATCCCAAATCAAAGCTATGCTAACTACTTACTAGTTCGTATTTCAAAGTAGTAGGAGGATGAAAATAGTTTGGGCCCCATACAAACGTTCTGTACGTTTTCACAGCATGTGTTCCTGTATCAAATTATTCTGAACGTGATCCAAAATTATCTCCCATAGTCTCAGAACATTCAGTATTTTCGTAATTGTTGCTGTACTTTTTCCCCAAGTAATTGAATACATAGTGTTTGACTAAGTCACACAAAACAGTTCAATAGATTGTTACTTTTACAGGGAGCTTACTTTGCATGGAAAGCAACAGCAATGGGAAAAAATTATGTCAATGGGAAAACATTCCTTGAGAAAAGGTAATGTATTTGATACTTGTCTGAAGGGATACTGTGTTTTGTTCAGATTCCACGTAAAACAGCCAGATTAAAAAAAATGCACACTTTTTAGATTATCAGAATAAAGTTTTAAAATACTTAAGATGTGATGCTTCTAGTTTACTTACATATGCACAGGAAATTTGATTTATTTAAACTCCAACTTTTCTGTTTATGGAGAATTGTATGAGTGCAATAAACATTATATTCAACATAATTTGCAGCAATATTGTTATATACAGTGTCAGTATGAAAAGTACTGTTCTTATTTTGACAAATAATAACTTTGACTCATAATGTTACAGTTCTTGCAAATAATATTTGTATGAGAAAGATTTTAGTAGTGTTTGAGTTTTTAGAGACTCCAAGATTAGTAAAATTTGGAAAGGGCTTTGTCCCTTGCTGAAATACATAAATGTCTGTTTACAGATACAATGAAGATTTGGAGCTCGAAGATGCCATTCATACAGCTATTTTAACACTAAAGGTGAGCAAAATATTTAAGGAAGAAGTTTCTTATGTTATGACTTCATTGATATGATCCACTGAACTGTATTTTTTTTAATAGGAGAGCTTTGAAGGGCAAATGACAGAAGACAACATTGAAGTTGGCATCTGTAATGAAGCTGGTTTTAGGAGGCTCACTCCAACTGAGGTTAAAGACTACTTGGCTGCAATAGCCTAGTAGAAACCAAGCAAGACTGTGTGGTTCACACAAAGGTCTTTTTAATTTTGGCTACTTAAATGTTTTTCTTTGCAGTTTTTGCATACTTATTTCTACATGGTTTGTCTGAGAGATTTTTTAAACATCATGGGTGCAAATACAACGGTCCTTAATATTGTAATACAGGAAATCTTGTTAAAGATAATTCTTTCCCTTGATACACAAAATACTGTACAAAATGTAAAGTTATAGTGACAGCTTGAAAAAGGCTAAAGAATAAAATCGAAGGCCACTGTTTTGGGGGAAAGTGTCTGTGTGTCTTTTTAATCCTAACTTGTTTATCTGCATAAAGCTTAGATTTCAGTATCTTTATTTTTGAGGAAACAGTTTTTCCCATACAGCCATGATGGATTCATGTTAGACCTTTTAAAGAATTTAAATGTTGAGCGGACAGGATAATTTTTCACTTTGGAATATTGTTTAAATGTTAAGTAATTTCCAGAAATGGTTTTATCTGGTGTAAAAAATCATGTACTTTCACAAAGAGACAGAACAGTCTTCCATTTCAGGTATGAACTGCAATCTACTTGAGCCTCTCTGCTTTTGACCTTCTTCGTCTTTGTGTCACAAGAACTTGTTTTCCATTACTTGAGTTATTTTCGTGGCCCTAGAAATTGCACTTTTTCAACCCTGAAATATTGTTAGAAAAAGTAGAAGTAATAACTCTTGCTGAAAACTAAATGCATTTATCACCATCAATAAAAATCAACAGGAGTTACAAAACAGAATGAGAGTACGTAATGTAATGACTTTATCCCGTGAGTTGTCCTCAAATATTTTCCAACTTGCAAGATAACTCTAAAGACAGGTGCAGAACTTGGATATTATTTGTGGGGGGTGTATGTATCAATACATTTGTTACATGTATAGAGTTGGTCAGGTCATAAAGAAACACCGAATTTACTACAAAAGAAAGGATAAATATATGGTGGGAGGTTCAGCAGAAATAATCTGGTCTGCAGCCATTTAAGTTACTGTTTGCAGATTTTATATTTTTTTAAAGCAATCTCATTGTTAAAATGTTGATAATGAACTCGGAGTGACAGCTGCATCCCTCTGCTTGTGTGTAAGCCTAAGGGCGGAGGGGAGCTGCCTGGCAGGCTACATATCATCCAGCCATAACTGATGAAGAAAATAGAAAGTATCAGTTAGTCTGCAGAAAGTAGCGTATAACCTAATTGACCTGTGTTTTCCGGTGTCTGTCTTCTGATGGTTCACGTTATCATCAGGTAAATAAGAGTTTCTGAAGCATGCCATAAATGACGTTTTATTTCCTAATGTCAGAAATAAAAGCTCTGTCCAAACAGTTCCTCCAGATCACTTTTTGAGTATGTGGCTCTGAAAACCAGTCCATACTCTGATCCTTATTCTAGAGAAAATTAAACAACTCAGAACTGAAACTGAAGACTTGATATTGCTGCACCTTCAGTTTAAAATATTTTACGTAGTCGGTGTTTTAATGATATTTAAATATTCAAAAGGGTTTTCTATAAGAAAAAAATGTAGGCAAGTACTTCAGAAAATGGTTAGCCTGAACTGCAGTAGTTTAATTGTCTCTGCTACTAGAAACAGTTGATTAGCAAAGAACACCCTATGAAGGATAGTTGAAACTAAAGCAAGTTTCAAATAAATCATGCTTTCTCACTGCCAAGATGGCAACAGTGGGAGAAACAAACAAAAATCTCTTGAGGTTTGGGGGCTGTGGTTTTGGTTTTTAAAAAATTGAGCACCTGCCATCTGGAAAATGTTACTAATTTACAGAGGGCAAAGGGAAGGGAAAAAAACCAGTATCATCCATAGTTTCCTGTGGTTTAAATAATTTAAATGTAGTAACTGTTCTGTGCGTTGTATGGAAGCTATTGTGTTCTGAATTAGGAAAATACTGTCTGTGAGATACCTGATAATAGGTATAAGTGTTGAGGGGGTGTTTCCCCACTCCCCCCCCATCCTGCCAGGACAGGCAATCATTACAGCACGGGGCAATTTTAACACTTCAGTACTTCAGAAGTGTTGCTGAGTTTACTTCATGTTGGACCAATGTTGCAAGTGGGTGGCAGCATGAAGCTACTACGTTTGTCAGATACTCCGAATGACCACCTCTTGTTGCCAGGTTGCTTCAGTGAGTGCTTTTTAGGAATATAAACTGTTTGAATTGGTAAAATAATGTTTGATTTATTTTTCAATGGTGGCACATTTTTCTTCTGAGGACAAATAGAAATGTGCCTTGAAAAACATGAGAATACTATCACTAGGCTCCTCTTACAACAAAAAGCTTCAAAACGGTGAGCAGTTTTAACTTTCCTCTGAGAGTACTTTCCCTTTAGAGTGCTCTCCTCAGGCTGTCTCTCTGCAGTATGATATGGGAGCCCCAAGTCATAATTTCCATAGTAATGGCTTATTGCTCCTTGCATAAAGTGGGGTCAAGGGGCAATAAAGCAGACAAATACTCTTTGTGAGAAATGACAAATTGCAGGTGAGATTATTTCAGCTAGCCATGAAGTGTGACTGCTTCATTTAGCTTGTTCCTAATCTGAAAGAAGAAGAGACAGCAATCACTTAAGGCAGGTGATGTTGATTTGTTTGTCCTGCAAGATGGTCTGCTCTAAGGTAGAGCAGTGTGACACCTATGAGGATTGGGATTTATTAACTAGTAGGATCGGGCTCTGAGAACAGTATTATCATTTCATTAAGTTATTACTTTAAGTCACAGAGTCACATGATGGGTCAGTTTGGAAGGGACTGGGTCATCCAGTCCAACCTCCCTGCCCAAGCAGTGTCATCCTAGAGCACATGGCACAAGATTGTGTCCAGACAGTTCCCCAGTATCTCCAGTGAGGGAGAGTGCACAACCCCTCTTTTACAGTGCACGGTCACTCACACAGTACAGAAAGTACAGGTGGAGTAAGCCCCTTACCACTTTCTTTGTCTTACTATTGCTTTCCAGATCTTGTGAAATCATTTAGGCACTTACTCCCTGCAGGAACCAGCGATCAGAAGGCACGTCTTTCCCATGCAGGTAGGGAATATTGCTGCATGGAGAGAGGCAAGACCATGGCTATGTTTGGTGCACGAAGGCGGGCAGCAACTTGGGGCAAGCATAGGGGACACTTGCTCACCTTTAGCACAGAATCGTTTTGTATGGGCTAGTTTTGTTGTCCAAGCTTCGTGGATTCAATGGGCGTGGGTCCAGTGTGCACGGAGCCATGGCTGCTGTTTCTCTGCTGAAGTTGAAAGTCCAAGGCCAAATTGTTTCTGGCCTGTCTGTTCCCACTCTGCTCTGCACTGGTGAAGCCTCACCTTGAATATTGTGTGCAGTTTTGGTCACCACAATATAAGAAAGATATTAAGCTGGTAGCATCCAAAGGACGGCAGCTTCCCCCTTCCTAGAGGGGAAGCCGTCTGAGGGGCAGCTGAGGTCACTTGGTCTGTTCAGCCTGGAGGAGACTGAGGGGAGACCTCAATGCAGTTTAACAACTTCTTTGTGAGGGAAAAAGGAGGGGCAGGCACTGATCTCTTCTCTGTGGGGACCAGCGACAGGACCATGGGAATGGCCTGAAGTTGTGTCAGGAGAGGTTTAGGTTAGATATTAGGGAAAGGTTCTTCACTTAGAGGGTGGCTGGGTTCTGTAACAGGCTCTCCAGGGCAGTCAAAGCACCAAGCCTTACAGAGTTCAAGAAGTGTGACTGTGTCTGACCTGACGTATTGCCCTTGGCCCTTACAGGGGTTTCGGGACAAGCCGCGGGCACCTCGGTGAGCATGGCCAGGCCGGGCGGGCCGGGCCCGGCGGAGCGAGGCGGGTGGTGCCGTGTCCCCGCCCGGCGGCCCCGGGGGAGGTGCCGGCCGGGCCGAGCAGCCACACGCCACGCCGGCTCGGCCGAGGGCTGTGGCCGCTGGGCTGTGAGTACGGGCTGCGGGGGCCGGGGAAAGGCGGCAGACCCGGGGGAGGGAGCGGGGCTGGGAGCGCCCGGAGAGGCGAGGTTGGCCCGGGCACATCGCGCCCCGGCAGTGACTGGGGGACGAGGGCGACAATGGGGACAAGAGCCGGCGTCCGGCGGCGTCCCGCCGCCCGCCCTGCCGGGGCCAGAGTGTGGGCGGAGGGCGAGGCTGGAGGGAGCCGGGGCCGCCGGGCCGGGGGCGAGCGCTAAGGGCGGTCTGCCCTCACCGAAGATGGCGCCGCGGCCTCCCCGGTGCTGCGGCCACGTGATGGCGGGGCGGGGGCGGGGAGGGGCGGCCGGTCTTGCCGGTCCCCGCACGGGAAACATCGGGCCCTGAGGCGAACGGAGGGGGCAAAGCGGAGTCTGCGTGCGAACCTGTGGTTCGTAATGGGGCCGCCGTGCAGTTGTTGTGCTGAAAAAGTATTTGGGTTTGTGGGTTTACTCTCACTGCAACCCTTGATGTTCGCTCTGTTAAAGTCTCAGTGTGCCTGGAGTAGGAGTTGTAGCTGCTGTGGGGAAAGGTGCCCAATTGCTAACCGTGGGGGTTTACTCATTGATTTACACACAAGAATGAGCGTGTAAGAGAAGACTTTGGGGGGGAAAGGCTGCTTTCTCTGTCTAAAGAGAGTCAGTAGGTCGAGTCGGAAGGCATTGGTCTTCTTGGTCATGCTGGGTGTTGACTGGGCCAATTCTGGCTGTTTCCACTTGTGCACAGTGCAGGGGTGATTTCCACTCCTTGAAGGCAGGCTCCACTGCTGCACTGGCAGAGCCTGTTGTAAGACCCAGGCCGTGTCCTGTTGCTCGTTTGTCTTGTCCTTTAACACCAGTTTGCTTCAACATGCAGGTTAGGTAAGAATTACAGTGTTTATACTTGTAGCTGGGAGTCAAAATTGATTAATTTCATTAATCAAAATTGATTAATTCATTATGGTTATTTACTGCCTGTCATTGTGCTATTGTTTGCTGTGGCATGAACCCTACATTTTTCAAAGACAGTACGCATTCAGTGAAGTAATTCCTATCATACTTTACTTAAGGGAGGCATACTAAAATCATACAAATGCAAAGGAATAGGTTTATCAGATGCAACACAGTACACCTCTTGGTAGAATTAGAAAGTACAGCAATTTCTAGGTTCACCTGACTCTAGAATTGTGAGTCATAGTCTTGTCGCAATGCCGTATAATAGAAACATATAATGGTTAGGGTTGGAAGGGACATTAAAGGTCATCTAGTTTCTCCCTGCCATGGGCAGGGACACCTTCCACTAGACCAGGTTGCTCAAAGCCCCATCAAACCTGGCCTGGAACACTTCCAGACATGGGGCATCCACAGCTTCTCTGGGCAACCTGTTCCAGTCTCTGAGGGGCTAATCCACTGAGCTGAACAGTGCAGGTTGGAAGCTGGAGAGGATAGAGCCGTGCTCCCCAGAATTGTAAAGTGCAATGGGCTTCCTCTATGCTGTGTTAAAATACTTGCTGGGAGTCAGACTTCACAGTTTTTATGTGTATCTGTGACCATGGTGGGTATCTTTTAATTTTAATGATAACTGTGATGAGAGAGAGAGGCATTTACTCATGGCGTTAACTGTATTTCTAATTTTGCTCTGGATGGCAGCTTTTGCAAATGAGCTGTAAGAGTTAACATCTAAGTGACTGGTTCAGTGAAGGGGTCCTATGCAAAGAAGGAGGAGGGGGCATTGGAAAGAAACCACAAACCTGGAAGGTGTGTGTGGAGACTTGAATGCTGCTGTGCTACCTAGATAAAAACTGGATTTTCTGAGTCTGTGGGTTGGATGTCCAAAGGTAAAGGAAAGGAACTGAACTCTTTGCTGGGACTTGTGCTGAGGTTCCAGATGCTTGTGCTTTACAATACTGGTAGCTGTTGCATGAAGTCTACCACAAAGCTTGAGTATATGCTGTTGGACAGACCTCCTTTCACTGTTTTTAGTCTTGGCCATGCAATAACAATCTTCTCTTTTGCTCTCACTTGATAGGAATAATGTTTCCAACATGTCTGTGCAGTCACTGCTTTGTGAAAGAATTGCTGTTGCCAAAGATTTGATCAAGAGAGCAGAAGCCCTTTCCAAGTCCCAGAAAAGGAGAATAGAAGGTGGGGCAAAACTATGTAGCAAACTGAAGGCTGAGCTAAACTTCTTACACAAGGTGGAGGCAGGGAAAGTGGCCATTAAAGAGTCCCATCTGCAGAGTACAAATCTTACCCACCTCCAAGCCATTATTCAGTCAGCAGAGAATCTGGAGGATGTTGTCAGTGTCCTCCATGTCTTTGCTTATGAGGACAGGTTTGGAGACAAACAGACCCTGGTGGTAGATGTTGTTGCAAACGGAGGTCACACATGGGTGAAGGCCATCGGTCGGAAAGCTGAGGCCCTGCATAACATCTGGCTGGGGAGAGGCCAGTATGGTGACAAAAGTGTCATTGAGCAGGCAGAGGACTTCCTGCAAGCAAGCCGTCAGCAGCCAGTGGAGTACAGCAATCCCCACATCATCTTTGCGTTCTACAACAGTGTGTCCAGTCCTATGGCAGAGAGACTCAAGGAGATGGGAATATCTGTGAGAGGAGATGTTGTTGCTGTGAACTCACTGGTGGAGCCATCTGCAGGCAGCGAGCACCCTAGCGCCAGTGAATCAGATGAAGAAGGCCCTGAACTCCTGCAGGTAACCAGAGTGGACCGGGAGAATTTAGTGGCCAGCATAGCTTTTCCTACTCAGATCAAAGTAAATGTCTGCAATAGAGTTAACTTGGACATCACTACCTTAATAACCTATGTCTCTGCTCTGAGCTATGGAGGCTGCTACTTTGTCTTCAAAGAAAAAGTGCTGACAGAGCAAGCAGCCCAAGAAAGGAAGGAGAGAGTGCTGCCTCAGCTGGAGGAGTTCATGGAGGGAAAAGAGCTCTTTGCCTGTGAATCTGCTGTCAGAGATTTTCAGTCCATCTTGGAAACGCTGGGAGGACCTGGGGAGAAAGAGCGAGCTGCATTGCTTGTTAAAAGGATTACCGTGGTGCCAGATCAGCCATCTGAGCGTGCCTTAGGACTAGTGGCTAGTTCAAAAATCAACAGCCGTTCTCTAACCATTTTTGGGACAGGAGACACTTTGAAAGCCATCACCATGACCGCAAATAGTGGGTTTGTGAGGGCAGCGGCAAACCAAGGCGTCAGGTTCAGCGTTTTTGTCCATCAGCCACGAGCACTGACAGAAAGCAAAGAATCTGCTGCCACACCTTTACCAAAGAGCTGCCCATCTGATAATGGACTATAAGTCATTAAATGAGTTAGTCATGGAAATACTGTAGGTGCTGCAGTGGAGGCTTTTTGAGAAACAGAAGAATCATAGCATAGTTTTGGGTGTGTATCAGTGATGACAGTAAATGTAGCAGTGGAAGAACTCCTCGAGGGATTTGCAATATCTTCACTCATTCCTTGGGGGTTTTTTGTTCAGCTGACCATTAATTTATTCACTAAAGTAATAAGATGTCAATGAAAATTGTTAACTGGCTTACAGTGTATTAATTGTATCCATCCCTATTAAAAAGTTCAGTTAAAGCACAGTTACTGTTGTGCCCTTGTCATTTTTGTCCTCTACAGAGAGGTAAGATCCATCATAGATGAACTTTGGGCTTGACTTCTGTGGAACTTAAATATTGCTTTCACCTATCCTATTTGACTGAATTCTTTGTTGATTCAGAGGTACCTTGCATAGACACCTGTGCCTTTTTGGTGTATGATGTTTTATGAAGACGTGACTAGTAGCCATGAATAGAAACCAACTTAAGCCTTCTTTCTCTTACCGAAAGGAACCTCTATATGTATACCATGTTAGACTGAATTGGGCAACAGCTTTAAAATTCCTGGAAAAATCAGTTGAAATCAGAGCGTATTTTCATTAACATGTGACTCTTGGGCTAAACTTGACAGCCAGTGGTAGCAGACCAAGGATGCAAATCTGCTTCCCTTTTCTTTTAGTCTTTGACCAAATGCAAAGTCTTGCGGGGTGCAATGCCCAGCTCGAGATAACAGAATCCTCCTAAACTGAGCCAGCACCCAGGTGGTTTTTGATACTAGTCTGCTATCTGCTGAGGACTCACAGTGAACTTGAGTCTCACTTTGTTGCATGTGGATTACCTGAAACAAAGCCTCAGTGAGGTCCTTTAGTGTTGGTGTGGCAGATGAGAAGGTTTGCGAGGCATGTTGTTAAATCCTAGCTTGCTCTGTAGCAGAGAGAAGCCTTTTCACTGGTGTTGTAGTTGCTGATTTTATTCAAAGTGTAGAATAAACAATTCCTTCTTTTGTCTTTTTTCTTTTTTTCTTTCCCCAGGAGAGTTTTGCTGTTTTAGAAGTGTTTCTCATGTTTTTTCCTGAATGCTGTAATGACAGCACTTGCTCTTTGGTATTAATTTGCATCAGTTTCCTAGTGGAAAATTTTGAGATGTCAGAGTGAGCCTCTGAGCCCTGAGCTATACATTTTTATCAGGTCAGTGAAAGAGATAACGACTGAATATTTTATAGGCTGTTGTTTCAACATGATAGCATTGTTACGCATCTTATGGTTCAGGCAAAGAACATTCTCTTGCCTCCTTCCCTCCACTCTAAATCTGTACCTACAGTACAGTGTGGCTGCAGTGCTGCCCTTAACCATGACCTCAGCCCATTACTTTCTGGTCCCCAACAGTGATGTAAAGATACTGGTGTGCCCACAAAACCACTCTGCCAGCCTCATCTAGCTGAATAAGCTGAACCCCAAGGAGCAAAAGTGTACTTCTTGTCCATGTGACTCTTGCTCTGCTCCTACTATGCCCGTAGAGTAAACTCTTAGTGGTTGTCACCAGTAACCACATGCTGTATAGCTTTACCTTAAACTTTTAATAATGCAGAGGGCAGTCTGCTCTCTACCTGCCCCTTGTTTCTGTGGGTTGCTGAAGTAGTACATGGGGTTTAATTAAGATGAGCGGAACTGGATTTGGATTTTTTGCAGCTTCAGTATCTATTGTACTTACTACCTGCCAATTTCACAGTTCCTCAGTGGTGAGTTCCAACAAAACATCTACCTTGTTCCTACAGTCTAACACACTGTAATGAAACCTCCTGGCAGGATACAACCCCCACTGTATCCACTAATTTTCTTGAAACTTCTGAGGGGAAAGGAGGACCAACACAATGAAACAATATAAATAATATGTTAGCTTTGCTGCAGAAATGCAAGTCTGCCTTAGTAGTTAACAGCATACAGGAGCTCAGGGAGGTATGGTATGATGGATTTACCAGAGCACAACCACAGATGTCTATGAAATGTTAGAAACAGCTGGAAGGAAAGTGCCTTTCATTCCTACCGTGAGACCTCTTGCTCTGGCCACGGGTATGGTGGCTCTCCTCTCCAGTTGATGTGGGAATAGAGGTGGGGAAGGTCATCTGTCCAAGAGAAAAAGAACTGTGTTTCTGTTTTGTATCAAGTCCTGAAAGAAGATACAAGAAACCTCCTAGTGAATAATTTATGAACAAACAGCCTGGGAGGGAGGGTTTCTTTTTGTTTGCAACTCAGACCTGTAAAAGTTGAGGTCCCAACAGACAGCTTACTATTTAGTAGAATCATAGAAACAGAAAATATTAAGAGGTTAGAATGGACCATAAAGATCATGTAGTCCCAAACCCCCTGCTGTGGCAGGGACACTTCCACTAGACCAGGTCACTCAAGGCCTTGAACAAGTCTAGCTTGGCCCTGAACACTGCCAAGGTTGGGCATCCACAACCTCCTTGGGCAATCTGTTCATGTGGCTAACCACCCTCACATTAAAAAATTTCTTCCTAATATCTATCCTACATTTTTCCTCTTTCAATTTGTACCCATTACTCCTTGTCCTATCACTACAGTTCCTGACAGAGTCCCTCGCCAGCTTTCCTGTTTCCCCTTCAGATACTGGAAGGTTGCTATGAGGTCTCTGTGCAACCTTCTCTTCTCCAGGCTGAACACCTCAACTTTCTCAGCTTCTCTTCGTAGGGGAGGGGCTCCAGTCCTTTTACCAAGCCCTCCTCTGGACTTGCTCCAAGAGTTCCATGTCCTTCTTATGATGGGGACACCAGAACTGCACGCACTACTCCAGGTGGCATCTTAGAAGAGCAGAGTATAGGGGGAGAATCACCCTGTTTGGTTGTGAAGGAAGTTCCTTCTTTTTATTAGTTCCTTTCCTCTTCTTTTGTTATTCTTGTGGGGTTTTGGTTTTTGTTGGGTTTTTTATTGTTGTTGTTTTTTTTTGGGGGGGGGAGGGGGGGCATTTGCGCACTACTTCCCGAGCCTGTGTTAATGCCCTCCCTGCATTTCCCGCAGCTTGATCACCTGTTTCTGGAGGTCTTCCACCAGGGCACATACTCCTTGACCTCTCCACGTTTTCTTTCAGCTGTGCCACCAGGTTGAGCAGATTGTCAGCCTGTTCACACCTCAGACAGATACGGCCTTCACTGTCCTCTGGCATCAGCGACAAGCTCAGACAGTCACTGCAGCTGGAGACCTGGATAACTGCATGGTGCTGTGTGAGGTCCATCTGGCTCATCATGTTCCTTCTGACAGTGGCTTTTGACAGAGCTGAAAGCACAGTTAGTCCTCTTCTAGTCACTCCCAAAGTTTTGTGTCCTATCTTTGCACCCTGTCTGGCAAACTGCCTGCGCCACACCCTGTTTGCCAGCCTGGGTGTCTCGTTCCCTGAAGCTGTTTAAATCTCCCTCAGTGCTCCTGGAAATGCCCCCTCTTCACCAATGACTTATCACTGATTAATCTGTTTTACAATATTACAGGGTATAATCGAAGCTAGGTGCATGGTAACAGTGCACTTATGCATGGTAATTCATTATGACCTTTTAAGAACTAATCCTTTGTATTTAAGTTAATTTACTTGCAGCCTTTTTAAAGTGATGAGGACTTTGAATGCATAAATGGGAGACACCTGCTTCCTTCTGCTTCTTGCAGAGAAGTGGGTTTCCATCAATTTCCTTGTAGTATTCCATTTAGCAATCTTGATTATCCTCTTGGGCACTCTCTAAGGAAGTTTCTCCAAACCATGGATGAGAGGGCAGTGGCTTGGATTTGTACATGGTAGGTGACCCAGGGAAAGCTGTGAAAAGTGAATAACCTCTCTATTACCAGGATTAGGAGTGGGTGAGCTCTGTTTGCTGTATTCCTTCACCCCTACTGCTGCAGAGCTGGCTGACTTGTTTTGTAGTGATACTTCTGTATGACTAGTAAGTGCAACTTTGTTTAAAAGCCTCTGTATCTGGAGCCATCGTGTGGTGATTTTCGTCATTACCAGTCATTTTTGCCCAATGCACTATTTGTTATTGAATCAATTTTCTCTTTTACTAATTTCTGCCAATCATATGAGCATTATTTTAGGAATATGAAACTCTTTCTGCATGCCCCTGTGCAACTTGAGGGTTCTATTGTTATTTTCTGTCTCCCTGTTGCATTTTGCAATAAAAAAAACTCAGAATGGGGATTTTTTTTCCCCTCCGGTGATTATCTGGCTTATCAGTCAAATGGAAGTGTAATGTTGACAGGCTGTAAAAATTATTTTATAAGATGAAACCCAAAACTGAATGCTGGCTTGGAGAAAAAATGTGTAATATTTGATGGCTTTTATATTACCTTTGAATATACTGGTGATCTACATGTATAAACCAGTGTTCTGGTTTGTTGCATTTAGATATCTTCTACTTAATTTCACAAATAGGGGATTAGACATAGAACTTCCCTTATTTATGACTTTCCAAATGAGTAATTAGAAAATACAAAATTATGTTTGCAATTAAGTTGAAAAAAATGGAAATCTAAGACTGCTTATCCTTTCTACCAGTATCACACAACTGCTTTGTCTATGCTACACCAGGCATTAGAGGATCTGGAGACATCTCGTTTGCTGCTATGGATTTTGTTTGGGTTTTTTTCAGTTAAAGTTTTCAGTATAAGTTCTTTTGCAAAGATGGATTCCTAAACTGTTTCAGGGAACCTTGTTCTTCTGACACTTTAAATTTATTTTACATTATCTCTGTATGGTTCTGTAGTCTCTGAGGAGAGCCAGCATCTCTGTTCTGTGCAGCGCTCAGCCTGCTCTATTTGCTCCAACAGAAAGAATAGCAAAAAGGAGTGCTGCAATTGATACCAGACAGTAGAAAGCACTTGGATATTATGTGAGAAATAAATCAATAAGTTAAGTTGTTCATACATTCATGTTTCTGTATATGTTCTTGACTTGTTTGTCATTGTACTTGCAAGCTGTGAAAACAGTCAGAGGTAGTTTTTGCCTGTTGTAGCCACTGTTGTGTAAAACTGTTATTCATTTGTAGTTTAATGGGCTAAATAGTGGTTTGTGTTTTGAACTGCCCCTCTCATCTGATGATACCATCTGGAGACTGTCTGAAAATATTTTCACAACCCTGCCCCTAGTTCCTGCAAACTGAAGGTAGGCTTGGTCACAGCAGTAATAAAATAAGAAAACACAAGCATCAGTTGTTTGGAATGTGTTTGAGAGGAGACCTATTAAAAAATGCCCTAAAATCTTTTTAATCTTTTTTGTTAAAGTGGACCAAGGAAAGGGTTACAATAATGACGAAGCACGTATAGTTGCAGTGACATTCTTTATTTCAGGTTATTGTGCAAGCAAAACAGCACA